GGAGACTGGCAGGGCCCAGTCCTGGCCCGGGATAGCCACACCTGCCCGGCGCTGAGCCATCTCTGTTCTGCCTGAAAGTGGAAGTCAGCCAAGGAGAGGGCAGCTGGAGACGGAGGGAGGCAGCTGTGGGAGGGCTTGGGGACCGTCTCTGCCGAGGCTGCAGAGTGACGGCACCTCCTCCAGCTTGGCTGGCCTTGCAGAGAGGGCCTTAGACCTGCCTCAAGCCAGTGGGGCCCAGGTGGCAGGAGCAGAAGAGACAAGGCTCAGAAAAAGAGAAAGCAGGCAGGAAGGCTGAGGGTGGACCCAGAAAGTCCCCACAGGAGAATGAGGAAAGGTGACTCAAAGGCAGACAGGAAGTGGGAGGAATAGACTGGGCCCAGCTCAAGAAATCCTCCCTCCCCGGGGTGCTGGGCAGTTCCCAAGAAAACAGCAAGGACCTAGTCTTTAGTCTCTGCCTCACAGAGGGCGGCTCCCGAGCTCCGGGGGCATCCTCACCCTCACCCACAACCATGGTCTACTTGGCCGCTGGGGGCTCTCTGCAGGTGCGCCTGGCCCTGACCATGGCACCACAGCTTTGAGCAGGTGACCCCACCTCTCTGAGCCTCCATTTCCTGATCCGTCAAGTGGGGACAAAGAGCACACCCACATCCCCATGCTCACAAGAGGGTTAAACTGAGAATCCTAAGAATCAGAATGGTTTCCTTGGCAGCAGCTATAACCTCCACTCAGCAAGGACACAGGGCAGGCCGTGGGTACACAGCTGTGGGGACAGCCCTGGGTCCACCCTCTCCAGCCCCAGAGAGCCAGCAGCATCAGCATTCTCTAGGAGACTTCAAGCCTGTCAAGGGCAGGAACTTGACCCCTCTCCCACCCCTAAGGCTGGAATTTGCACTGAGCAGAAGCCTAATAAGCTATCTGTTGGGCAATCAGAGGCCCATAGAACCTTGTTTTCCATAAACACCATCAGCAGCCCAGACACTGGCTGAGCCTTTTCTCACCTAATCCTCAGAACTTTTACCAGGAAGGCTCCGTAGCCCCAGGGAAAAACTGAAGGCTTTCACAGAAGCCCTGAACCCAGTGGGGTGGAGAGCAGCCAGGTGCTGGAGCCCCAGTTCTGTGTCACTCCAGGGCTATTTGCTCTTCCTTTTTCTCTGCCACCTGCCTTCCACATAATTAAGTGATAATGAATTCATTTCTCCATTTTGGTTATTTATCAAAGCCATATGTAGCCGTCAATCAGAGTCTTGTTTGGCAGGAGGAAAGCAGGATTGTCACGCCAGGTGTCCGCCACTCTGGTCCAAAGCAAAGGGCTGTGGCCAGCCTGGCGGCCCAGTTGGGGTAAGTGGAGGCAGCCAGCAGCCGGTATGTAGCTGTCTCGGTGTCATCTCTGGTGACCACCAGCCAGAAGAGGACTCTGTTGAACTGGGGACGATGGTATCAGAAACTTAGTAAATACTTACTCCATGCCAAGTGCTGGGTTAAGTACTTTCCAACCCTGTGAAGTGGGTACTATCTCATCTCCGTCTCAGGGTGAGGAATGGAGCTGCAGACAGGTTTGAGTAACTTGCTCCAAGGCCCACACCTGGGATTTAAACCCAAGGCGATGGGTTCCTAAGTCTCTGCTCCACACACTGAGGGAAGTGTGGAGAAGGTGGGTGGCTGCAGGAGCCCACAAGGGGCTGAGCGGCCAGAAGGGGAAGCGGCTGGCTGCCTGATGCTGGGGTCACAAGGTGAGGTGGAGCAGGAGGTGGAGTCAGGGCCAGGCTGGACGGGAACGAGGCCACCTCCTCAGATGCCAGGGCTGCCTACCTTGTAGTAGGTATCAGTGTACGGAGCCCCACACACCCTGGCGTAGGTGGATGCCAGCCAGGGTGGGCATCTCTGAGGTCGCTTCCTAAAGGGAAGGGTGAGGGGTTTGGAAGCAAGGGATGCAGCCTGAGGCAATATGAGGGTGGCCGAGAGTCCAGGCCCCAGGCTGCGATGCCCTGTGTGCCCTGCACCTGGCTGGACCCTCTGGGCACCTTCTCTAAGCAGGGACCACTGGCTCCACTGTACAGACCACGATGAGGGCCCCTGTGACCTTAAGCAAATCTCTGCACCTTCCTGGGCCTCAGTTTCCCTTTTTAAAATGGGGAGGAGGGCCAGAGGAATCGCACAAGGCAGCGAGGCCCCTGGTCCGCTGCAAGCGCTGTCCTCAGGACGCACCCGCAGGGTCCCCATACACTTCTGACAGGCAGACCAAGGTCAGAGCCCTGGGGTCCCTCAGAGACAGCCTACTCCTTTAACTGACAGGGAGACTGAGGCCAGCGAGGGCCAGTTCCAGGGGATGGAAGGCTGGCCTCCCAGCTGCGGCTCCTAAGCAAAGGCCAGCTCCCAGCCCTCTTCCCACTGTCTCTGTCTGCTGGCTGTGGCCCGGCTTTCCAGGGTGCAGGATCCCTCTTCCCTGCCCTCTGTTCCCAGCACAGCCCTGGCTGCAGTGTTCTGGCTGTAATCCCTGGGCCCTGCTGCGACCCAGGAGGCTGCAGCCCCACTCGGGCAGTGCAAGCAGAACAGGGGGCTTTGGCCTCCAGAGAGCCCATCTGTTAGTCGCTCTCAGCCGGGGCTGGGCTGGGCTCGGCTGGCACAGTGAAGCCTTGTTTCCCTGAATACAAAATCTGCAGCCTTCCACCCTGGCCAGGGCCTCTGGGCGGGTGGCACTTCCTTCTTTAGAGGTCCAGCTTTCGGCCCTTTCCTGTGCCCTGGCGCCCCTCCCAAAGCCCCAACAAGCACTGCTGGTGCCAAGAGGTGGGTGGCTTGGAGGAGTTCAGCTTCCCCTCATCCCTGCTCAAGCACCCCTCATCAAACTGGCCCCCAAAAAGTACACTTCCAAAATGCAGTTTCAAGACCCTTCTTCCCCTACAGCCCTGCTGAGCAAACCACGGTCTCCCACACCCTGGAGCCTCTAAAGAAGGAGGGCTCCAGGGAAAGGCCAAACGGGGCTCCTGGTGGGTACACTGCATGGAAAATCGTCCATTCATCCAGAAGATGTGACAGGAGAAACCGGAAAGGAACAATAGGGATTTCTGAAGTCATAGACCCTGGAGTCCCAGCCCCATCATTTTCTAGTCATGGGGGTCTCAGCAAGTTATCTGATTGTCCCCTAAGGGCCATGAAAACAGCTCCAGGTTATGGGAGGGCCAGGAGCTCATTCCAGCCTCAGACCTATGGAGGTTGCAATCTGTCCTTGTGCAACACCCGCCTCTGGGCTCCTCCAGGGGGCAAGCTCCACCAGAGGAGCACAGGAAGGGCTCAGGAGTTTTCAGTCCATTCTCCCTGGCACAAGGAAACCCCCTCTCCAGGCTTTGAGGGACAGGACGTGGAGTCAGAGCTGGGCTGCTCTAGGCCCTGGACTTCCACATAGAGGTCCTGGGTGGAGGGGTCAAGGATTTGACTCCTGAAAAAGTACTGAGTTTCCAGCCACGAGAGCCTGGGCACCAAAACTCTTCCCTTGCGTGGGGGGTGAATGCGGAAGCAGCAGATGCAGCAGGGAGAAGCGGGGAAGAGCTCTGCTCGCACTGTAGGCTTGCACAACACCCTTTCCTGGCTGCCTGCTCTCCCTCTGGGCACTGCCAGCTACCGTGGCCAGGCTGACGCCCCTCTGCCTGCACAGCCAAGTTGGGGCCAGGCATGTGGCACCCCTCCCTCAGCCTCCGGCTGCCTGTGCTGAGCCCCTCTCTCTCCCCCACCTCAGCCTCAACCTCCAGACAGTCCTTCCCCCTTCAGACCTACTCCACCCCAGTAGCAAGGCTGTCCAGTCTCTGGGGGTCAGGGGTGCAGGATGGGCAACAGGAAGTGGGAGAGCCACCAGAGGGAGAGGGGCTGGACACTTTTATCACGACTGGGCCCAGACACAGCTGGGGGAGAGTGGCCACCCATCTCAAGTCCCAGGACAGGGGACCTAGGGACCAACCTGAAGGGGAACTGGGCCCCCAAAGAGTAACAAGTTTTGTATTCTGGGGGGTAGGGTGGAAGGGCTGTGCCCACCAGGCTAGGGGTATCCGTCTAACCTGGACAGGGAACAATATGTGGAACTGTGGGGTAAAGGGCAGGGCTGGGAGTAACTGGTGTCAGCTAAGATAGGAGTGGGCCTGGGGGTGGACGACATCCAGGGCCCTTTGAAAGGAAGGCACAGGAGGACAAGGGAAGGCCTTCCACAGAGGTAGAAGTAAGGTGCAGGGGGTGGGGTGGGGCAAGAGGTGGAGGGGCTTGGAGGAAGACATGCCCAGAGGGCACTCAGCCCCAAAGGGAGGGGTGGGTGCATTTTACCTGTAGGTAGAGTAGGGACCAGGGACCAGGGACCCCTCCTTGGGAAAGCCACCAGATCAAGGGTGTGAGGGTCGGAGTTGGAGGGGCTAGGCTCTCTACCCCTGGTTTACTAGCAAACACAGAAACACTCCAAGGTAGGGGTGCCCCGCCAGAACCCATGTCTTCGGGGATCTGAGTAAGCGGAGGAAATAGAAAGAACCCCAGGAAAGTGATGTGTGCGGCACAGGGTCAGGGATTGGTCCGCCCACTTTGAGAGGCACTGGGGGTTTGTGGAGTGGGGAATGCCAGTTGCTGGGATGTCTCCCTTGGTTTCCTCGTGTGGGATGGGGGTGGGGGTAGGGTCATCAACAGGCATCGGAGTCTCGGGCCTGAGCCTGGGTCTGGCGCCTATATGTGGTGCTGGTGGGGCCTCGCAGTTACCTGCAAAGAGCCTAGGGTCCCCGGTATACGGAGCAGCATCCCTCGGAGGAGGGGGTCACGTGCCAGGGACGGGGATCCCCAGACCCAGATGCGTGGAGTGGCGGGTCTGGAAGCCTCCTGATGACCAGGAAGGGAGCGCCCAATACCCGGCCTTGGTGTGCAGGGCTCTGGGGCGCGTGGTAGGTGGCCGGGGGCCGGGGTGGCCCGGGAGCGGGGCACGGAGGCTCGGGCCCGCGGGAAGTCGGGGCGCAGGGGGACGGGGGGCGGGCACTCACTGCTTGAACATCTTCTCCATGTCCTTGATCTGCTTCCTGGAGAACTCCTTGAACTCGGTATAGGGGTTGAAGACGCGGCGGCTGGGCGACTGGGGCTCTCCGATGCCCTGGTTAAGGTCCGCGCGCCGCAGCAGCTTGGCGCTCAGCTCGTCGTCTGCGCTGCCCAGCGCCTCGGCCGCCTCTTCGGGCGCCCCCGGGCCCCCGGCAGCAGCCGCCCCGTTCAGGCCCGGCTGCCCGGCCGCGTCGCCGCCGCCCTCGCCTTCCATCTGCAGCCGCCGGCTCAGCTTGGTGGCCAGCTCGTCCGTGGCCATGGTGGCCCGCGCGGCGCTGCTCCGCCCGACCCGGCCCCTGCTCTCCGCGCCGCGCGCTTCCTCTTCCTGACACTGCCCGCCCGGCGCCGCCCCGGGGTGGGACTTCTGGGACCGCCCGCCCCGCCCCCGCGCCCCGCCTCCCGGGCCGCGCGCTGGGCGCAGGGGTCCTTTCAGTAGCCCAGGGTCTTCTACGACCACCGCACTGGGTGCAGCCCGCCGTCACTAACCCTCGGGGGCCTGGGCCCGGTGGTGTCGTGAGAAGCCATCACTGCCCCCCATCATGTTTTCAGGGGGGTAGATGAGCCACTGCGGGAAGGGAGAGGGATTACCTAGCCGAAGTTTGGGTGGGTGAGGTCGGGGGCTTTGGGTGGCAAACCCCTAGCCCCTTCTCTGGAATCTCTACGCTGTGAAGTCACCATCCTGTGTCTGTGACACTGTCGGTTGCCATGGAGACATGGAGAAGAAACACTGGCGTTCTCTGCCAGGGTTGCAGGGTCTGAAGAAGGTGGACCCGCGACCCAGCGGGACCCCAGGGTAGATGGAACGGAGGCCTCTTTCTGCAAGAAAGCTCCATAAGGGGCTGTGACCGGACCCACCACGGAAAGGTCTTGCCAGTGGGAGGAGAAGGACAGGGGACAACGTGGTCCTCTCCCCCAGGGCCGCACCAGCACAGGATGACTGTGCAGAATAGCTGCTGGGCTAGGCTGTAGCCTGTGACTCCGCTTGCAGGGGTCTGACAGAGAGCTCTTGATGTTGCTATTTGAAGGGGACCCCGAAGGAGAGGTGTTCCCGGAGGTTCATAGGATGGAGCTGGGGGAAGGACCCTGGAGGATTTATCTCTGTGATTTACTCTGTCACCTTAAAACTGCAAAGACCCTGCCTCAGAAGCACTGGTTGTAATACAGATTGCCAGGCTCCAACCCAGACAATCCTAATCTCAAGGGTTTGACTCAGGAGTCTTCATTTGAACAAGCACCCAGGGCCCTGAAGACATTTTCAGGCTGAAAAAAAAAAAAAAAAAAAAAAAATCCTACTGAACAAGCTCCCAGGGAGGGTGGTCATGCAAGTTTGAGGTGAAGGATTATGCACCATGCAAATTGTCAAAATGTTAGGACAGTGCTGAGGATCCTCATAAAACCATGCTCCGGGGCGGGGCTGGGGAGTTGGCTCAGGGGAATAAGTGCTTCCCTGGCAAGCGCAAGGGCCTGAGTTCAATTTCCAGTTCTGAAAAAGAAAACAAACAAACAAATAAACACAC